TATACAACGTGTACTTTGCATCTATTGACTATTTATATGGGTATATTAAATTGATATTTATAATGCGATACTTGATTTTAATACCTTCAACAGAAAATTATTTTCACTATTTTGCGCTGTAAAAAAAAAATTTTAAGAAGTGTCGCAAAAAGAAAAATCGACTGATGGAGTCGCAATTACGTCTACAACGCAGTATAAAATATGTATAGAATACTCGGAAAAATAATTTCACATTAATAAAACKAATTTATTGAGTTTTCATCGTTTATTTAGTATATTTATACATTCTTATTTTTTTATAATATTATTTCAAATTTAGTTCATGTATAATACGTGTCGCTATATGGCGGGCAACGACGATGTCATTGTCCATTGAAGATTAATTCTATTTTTCAGTGTATAGCACGCGAATACGCTAGTGAACGCTAGTTACGCTATTACGTCGTTCGCTCAGTGTTGTCAGTATTTATAATATAATAATTATAACTATAACATTATGTAGTTTTAATTATAATTATAAACGCTCGAGAGTTATTGCATTCTACTGCAATATTAATATTACATTTGGTTTTTCTATTGACTTATATGTTTACGTTACAATTTACAAAATTATTGCAAATATGAAGCTTCTTTTTAAGTAGGTACTTATAGAAAAACAGAATATAATATTATTATTGTAAGTAAAGAGYATATTATCGTGAAAAGATTTAAAGATTCAAAATAGCTTGTAGCGTAGCCTGGCGTAGGTATATACGTAATTCTTCTCTGCAAGAATCCATGRAAATGTCTGTATACAGTCCATTTCAGGAAAAGTGGCCCTCGACTGTGACGCGTCTAGTGGATGTTTTGGCGTAGGGGCTCTAAAACTAGCGCGAAACTATCGACCACCTGTCACCTGTGTATTCGTAGAGCTACCGGCCGTATTATTAAGAACCACTGGATTTTAGAAATTTCGCCACCAGTCACGTTACAGTCGAGGATCACTTTTCCTGATAAATGGACTGTAGTAGAATACCTAATACGTTATGAACCTACCATTACAATTTTTTTATAATTTACAAAATAAAGGCATATCTATTGATATCTAATTTTATTTTTATTTTTATTTTTTATGTACGACATCMTCCACTATTTTGAAATTGCTATGTACATAACATAACTGTTACAGGAAGTCGAAAAATAACATCTCAATAAGACAATGATTAATAATGAGTAAATGACTAGTAATAAATTATAACAGTACACTCCTAGTTTGTATGAAGCGTATCAGGACAGCTTTAATTTTATAATTTTTTCCTAGCTTTACTATAATAATATTATATAACATAATAGGTATAAAGATAGACAAAATACTTTCATAATTAATTATATTGAATTCGAATAGGTATAAATTATAAAGTCTATAGTACACTGCATAGTATCTCTTACCCAAAATTTTGATTATTTTATCGATGTACCTATAACAACTTTAAATCAAATACTTGATATAATAAGTAATTAGGCTTCTTAAATGGCATAAGATATTTAATTTTAATTAAAAAAAAAAWAAAATAAAATAAAAACTTCGATTTAAAACTATACTATAAAGTATAGTAAACACATCTACTTAGTGTGTTCAGTAGGAAATGTTAAAGAAATATTGCTTTTACATCGAACATTTTATTGATAATTATTAATCACTAATGAGGTATGAAATCAGTTTAACTGTCTACTAATGATTTTATAAAAACATACCAAAATATATAAAATTAAAAAATATATTTTTAATATTTCATTGAATTATTGCTGCCTGAAAGTTTTAAGTTTCATATATTTCAAAGTGAAAATTGCATATGAAGTATTTCATACTCATAAGTTATAACACTGATTATAATTGATTTAAGTACCAACGCACAATACATATTTAATATTTTCATTGTGTATATTATCATAATTTTAAATTTATTCTATATAAAAAAATATAATATGATACGACGCAATAAAATAATTATTRTTTTGTTATGCAGTGGTTATTGCAATAATAATAATTCTTTCTCACGTAAGCTACCACCGAAAGCATGCCCGAAAATCACATACTGCACGGTACTTGGTGAATTTATTACGATGGTCATATTTTTATTTTAAAACAATAATAATGCGTACTGTTTATACTATAAACATAGTAGAAGTGGCACGTATAATAGTTACATATTTTTTTTAATTGGAAATTCTTTAGTTATTGTTAATGCCGTCACAGGAAAAA